GAGGAGCAAGATCACTACGTAAAAGTGACACCATTATGAATAAGGTGAGTGGGCCAAAAGGGAGGAGGACATCAAGGCCAAGCAAGAGAGTTCAATAGCCAACTGGGCAAAGAGGGACGCTGACAGAGAAAAGAGTAGGGCAGACGTGAAGGCCTTTAATGAAATGATGGAGGGAAGGGAGGTGATAGAAAAGCCCACGAGAGGACGGTGGCCATGCGTGAAGCCGACCGAGAAAAGAGAAGCTGAAATTGAAGCGCACCTAGAAGTGGCGTCAAGGCTGTAAGCCATTCACAACGCCAACCAGATGGGCGTGGAACCGGAAACGGAAAGCCAGGGGAAGATGTATCCCTGGATAGAGGACATGAAGAATGGTATAAAGAGAGGATGGACTGCTAAGTAAAACGGAGGCCAACCCAGATAAAAAGGAGGCAATTGATCGCGCGATAGACATTTTTGAACAAATGATAGCCTCGACGAAGACTAACGAAGAAAAGATGGAAGACAAATATTTGAAGGAAAATCCGGAATAAATGGAATGTGATTGGGTACGTCGGGAAGTCCCTAGGGAAGATGCAGTAGTGAAACCTTTCAAAGGAAAGAATCAGCGGCACAGAGAGCTGCATCTATCTGCAAGGCGACGCGGAGAGCCGAAGGAACTGACCCGTGGCGATTGCGAATCTCGGAGTAAATTCTCCGCTATCCGGAATGAGTATGACTCGCATTGCAAAAGTGACACGACGCAGGGAACGGGTGTTTCATAGACAATGAAAAGGCGACATTGCACCGAGAACCCGGAAAGGACGAAAGGAGGAGAATAGACGATGCAAGGGACCAGAATGCAAAAATGGCACAAGGGACGGGGGCTTAAAACAGCAACCAACAAACAGCAAGCGAATAAAGGACCTAGGCGACAGACGGCTACTATGTTCAAGGAAGAAAAAGGTAACCACGAACGGACAGCGATCACATCTGGAAAGCGAATGGAAGATCAGGGAACACCTATATTAGATTTTCAGAGAGAAGATCACGAAAAAGTATTCGGAACTTACAGCGGGTTAGGAAGAATTACGGATTGAACTCTGTGGAGTGGTTGACCCCTTCCGAAGCGGAAAAGGAAGCAGGGTTAGTGTAAGAAAAGTCGGACATGGGGGAGCACCGGTGGCTCCAAGTGTTATGGCCTCTTCTGCTGAAAGGGGAGGGAAAGTGAGAAAGAGAAACTTTTCATTATGGTGAGAACTTGGACTAACTGGAACAGTATAAGGAAACCACTCGGGACGACCTGGCCTTAAGGAAGGGCCAGTGGTAGCGGTTAGTGGTCAGCACTTCAGAGTGAGGGGATTGAGGGAGAGACATAAGGAACGGCTTGCGAGAAGACGTTAAAAGCACAGTCACCGGAGAGCAACACAAATTATACACCGTTAGGCTCTTCGGGACGAAGGGTCTTAAGGATTGGGCGATGTGAAATTGTCACATGCCACAGTGACTAAATCCGGGATTTGGATTAGTAATTGAATGTATTATCAACCTACAGCTCGTAACAACAATTAAATCTCACGCTATTTTTGCTTTACACCATTTACAGTTATTCCACAATTATCTTCACTAGTTTTCACGTATTTATAACACAGGAACTATAACAGTCTCATTGAATTACACACTCCAAATATAGCAAAGTAAAAATTCTCCTTCTCACATGTTAAACATTCAGAGGCCGACTTCTAATTCTTTTTGAACTACGACATTTCCGTTATCTCCTACCGAGAACTGGCTTGCGTACTTGTTCGGGTGATTCTGCTGCTGCTACTGCTCGTAACTCGTAACTGCTGTACTTCTCCAGCTTTTTGCTGTCATCTTGAACTGCAAATTTTTTATATAGCAGCGGAATGTACATGGATCTACAATAAACACATACACCGTGATCGCTTACCGACCAGTCTATTTGTGTGTCGGTAGGATCTACAGAAAGCATAGATTCTTTTATTGTTGCAAGTCCAACCGTGTTTACATTTCTGTTGTCTGTCAACGCGATGGCCACTCCGTTATAATATTCATCCTTATAGAATAATAGCAGTTTCAATTCAAAATAGATTATGATTGGAAACAAGGAAGATGTTAAAATTCTTTACACTGGAACAAAATCCCAGTTACATCAGATGAACACCAGTTCATTAAAACACATAAACAGCAAAAAATTTTCGGTACGAGCCAGAGAAATCACATAAGAAAACCTAATCCGGAAGTAACTATAATATTCCAAAATTAAATTATATATACCTACTATACCAATCAGCCTTCCAATAAACAATACTGAGTTAATACAAGTAAAATAGCTAATTTAATCGTAAAAATTCAATGATGTGAACAGAATATATTAAAAATATGAAATTAAACATTGAACATATCTTCATAACAATAAACAGAGATGATTGATGTGTGATATTCCTGTAATAGAAAAAAACAAACCTTCAAAGTGTTTAACAGAACTTATACGAAAAAATACGAAAGAATGAGAGTATATATGAGCATATAAATGTGACAGAACTGGCCCGAAACATATCAGACGGTAAAACATTTACATTCTCTAACCAGAGGAATTCTTGAAGAGAAACAGATTATTGTACACACAATAATTCAGTTGAGATAATAAATATATTTTCATAGCAATGCAAAATTAATATATATCTGTAGAATCGTACTTTCGCGTTGAATGAATGCTTTTTTCGCACGCATTAAACGAAAAGATTCTCTCTTATGATATTCCGCGTGACACCAATTTTTTTTGACCATGGGCGGACATTACCGTTCTTATTGCATGATCATGCTTGTTCTGCATTGTGTGATTTTGAGATGCATATCCAGAATAAAGCGACGAGTGAACATTTTCTTACACACATCGCAAGTAAAAGTCGTATTCCAGTGTGCTTCCTTAGATGCTTGTTTAGGTTCGAGCTGTGAGCGAAAGTTTTTTACACACTTTGCACGAAAAAGGTCGTTCTCCACTGTGCATTCTGAGATGGGTGTTTAGGTTCGAGCTGTGAGCGAAATTTTTCTTACACTTTGCACGAAAAAGGTCGTTGTACAGAGTGTATTCTGAGATGAATGTTTAGGTTCGAAATATTAGCGAAAGTTTTCTTACACACTTTGCACGAAAAAGGCCGTTCTCCACTGTGCATTCTGAGGTGTTTCTGCAGGGTATACTTCTCAGCAAAAGCCTTTTTACACACTTCACAAGAAAATGGTCTTTCTCCATTGTGTACTTTTCGATGCCTGTATAGGTTATGGAGCTGAGTGAATCTTTGCTTACACAGTTCGCAGGAAAATGGCCGTTCTCCCGTGTGTACCCTGATATGATTTTCTAGTTTAGCGCGACCAGTGAAACTTCTCTTACATACATTGCATGTAAAAGGCCGTATAGCAGCACCGAATCGTTGTGTTTCACTACGCTTAGGAGTTAACGATGTGATACACATTTCACAACGAGACATTGTTTCTCTGCTGCTTCCACTTGCATGTCCGGATAGATTATATTTACGAGAGAATGATTTCTTGCATATCTCGCACGTATGAAGGTCCTCTCCTCCGTATAACTCTTGCAATCCTGCACTCTGTTCACAAAGACGTTCCTCTGCATTAACTCCCTTCAGGTGCGCTGTTGCACTTAATTTTACACTCTGGAAGAAAGAGAAACCCTATCAATACCTACAGTGGAGCTGGGCTCAGGGGCGTTTTGAAGTATTTCAGCTGTCACGTTGAGAAATATTGTTGCATGAGAAGGAAGCTAGATGGCATTGTGTCCCCTCGTGAACCACAACACACACTGATCTTCATATAATACCTTTAAGTGAGTATTTTAAGTAACCAAGTCACGTAAAACTAGACCAACCTAGTGGAGGATATTGTGGGTGATGAATAACCTTTATGCAGGCATTTATAATAATTCTTTGAAAAACTCGTTGATTAATGCACATACAGTTCCTCTGAATGACATTTCAGGACATTTTAAAATTTCTGAGTCCATTCCATGCTTAGCGAAATTCCTTACTCCATATCCTGTTGGTATATGTTTATAGCAATTAAGTAATAATGTAATTATATCAGTAGATTTTCAGTGGAATATAATTTTATGAAATTTTCAGGATTCAGATTCTAGTTTACTTAACGTTGGTTTTATTGATCAGGCAAACCTCTGCCCCTGTTTCACTAAGTACAGTATATATCATTTGCAATTCAAGAACCAAGGAAATCACATAAGAAAGTTGAATCCGAAGGTAACTCCACTATTCCAAATCTAAAATATAATATTATATTTAAGCATCCTGTTACACTCACACAGTATATGAGACGAACTCCGTCTTAAGTGCAACAATTTAATTGTAGTTTTTCTTCTTCCCTTCCTCCACACTACATGTTTCGGCCCTAAATGGCCATCATCATGTTTGTATTCTTACGTAGCTGCTACACTGCCCGTAGTTTAAAATTTAAAATCACCAGTATTCCCAATTGTATGTATGTATAAAATCTTTGTTAACCTACACGCGTCAATTTGATTTCTAAAATTGGCACTTTTTTTAACACTTCAATGCAAAATTAATATGTCTAAAAAATTTTCCGTTCTTTTTCTTTTTCCAAATTTTAAAAATTAAAATTTCCTCGGGGTACACGCCCTATGTCTATAGTGCTGCAGCGGCTACTTCTTGTTTTATTGCTGTTCAGGTATTGTCTGTAATATACAAATATTCGTATTACTATTTTACGTTATGTTATGTTATTCTTATATGTTTATACTGTTATTTGTACTTACTCTGTGTAGGCTCTCTGTGTGTGTCGCTGCTTGTCTTTAATACGTGTGCTGTCTGGTGCTTTGTGTGCTGTGTTTTATGTTGGTGAGTGTTGGCGGGGGAATGGGTAGTGGTGAGTGTTGGAGGTACCGTTAGTCTGTATAGATTTCGTGTATCGTTTGGAATTTGGGATTGTATTTTTCTATGTGTGTGTCATTCACGTGTAGGCCCTTCTTACTTATTTTATATATATGGTATTTCTCTAATGTATTCAAATGTCTACCCTTCTTTCCTGTTGTTATAACTTCCATTACGTCTGTTATTGTTCCGTATGCATGTCCTGTATTTAGTATGTGATTTGAGTACCCAGAATTGCTATTATTATTTCTAATATCATGTATATGTTCTTTATATCTAGCGTTAAATGTTCGGCCCGTTTGCCCAATATATTTCAATGGGCAATCTACACATTTCATTTGGTATATGCCACTTTTATTGTATTTGTCCAATTGTGGTTTTTGTTTGAGTATGTTTTCTATTGTGTTTCGTGTGCGGAATGCTATTTTCGTCTGTGTGTCTTTAAAAAGTTTTGTAATTTTTCTTACTTCTTTTGTACTATATGTACAGATGCCCCACTTTGTGGGCCTAATAGACCAATCACAAGACACAACAAAGAGTACAGTCAGTATTAAACATTATAAAACCACACATAATAGATAAAGTCAGAATGTGGTATTAATAAATAACAATTTCACGTTACAGATACACATAAATATAGGAAGAGTGCTCCCACAGAGGTATTTTGGCGTGATTCGCGTATTGAGATACGACGTAAGGATGACGAATCCTGAAAAGATTTAATATTTAAAATCTATTATTACATATATCAAACGAATATATATTTTAGTCATTTTAATATGAAGATATCGGGGCATGCAATGCAGTAGTTAGAAGTGCATAGAGAAAACGCACCTTAGGATGGCACATTAGTGCTGCAACATGTAGTGCAAAAGAGAAGTGTAAGGTGAAAAACGTGTATGCACTGTAAGACGGTTAGCATAAATCATGGACCAATCATGCTTTCAAATAAACAATAATGAATTCGCGCAAGAAAACAAGTTTAGGTAATTGTGAAAATTCAATGAATTGAAGAGAAACAAAAAAAAAATATATGAAATTAAATTTTGTACATATCTTTGTAACAGTGGACAGAGAAGAGTGATATGGGAATATTCCTGTAATACAGTGAAATGAAACTTAAAAAATTTGAATAAAAACTATAGAAATACGAAAAGATAGATTATATAATTAAAACTTGTTTTATTCAAGGGAACAGTGAGGACTTAAATTTATGAAACTTGGACCGAAACTTATCACACAGTAAAACGTCGAGGTTCTGTAACCAGATAAATTCTTGAAGTTAAATATAACATTTTAAACATAAAAATTCAGTAGATACAATAAATATATTTTCATAGAAATGCAAAATTCAGAATATATCTGTATACTCGCACCGTCACTTTGAATTGATGCTTCCATGCACACATAACAAGAAAACGTTACCTCTCATGATATTCCATGTGACGCATTTTTTGTCTTCCATCACAAGTGAACATTCGTTTCCATATCTCACGATCATGCTTGCTCTGCACTGTGTGTTTTGAGATGCATATTCAGAATGAAGCGGCGAGTGAACCTTTTCTTGCACAATTTACACGAGAAATGCCGTTCTCCACTGTGCACTCTCAGATATTTCTTCAGGATATATCTATTAGCGAAAGTTTTCTTACACACTTCGCAAGAAAAGGGTCTATCTCCACTGTGTATTCTGAGATGTATGTTTAGGTTATGCAGCTGAGTGAACCGTTTCTTGCACACATCGCACGAGAACGGTCGCTCTCTACTCTGTGCCTTGAGATGCCCGTTTAAGATAGATCTCGTGCGAAAGTTTTCGTACACGCTTTGCACGAAAAAGGCCGTTCTCCTTTGTGCATTCTGACTGCGTGTTTTGGTTACAGCGCTTGGCGAACGTTTGCTTTCACACGTTGCACGAGAAAGGACGTTCTCCACTGTGTTCGCTGAGAAGCCTGTTTAGGTGAAAGTCCTGGGCGAACGTTTTCTTACACACTTCGCAAGAAAATGGCCGTTCTGCAGTGTGCACTCTAGTATGGTTTTGAAAATTAGAGTGACTAGTGAACTTCTTGCAATCTTTGCAAGAATAAGGCTCTCTGAGTCCACTTGATCCTTGTACTGCACTATGCTCAGGAATTAACAATGTTAGACACATTTCACAGAGAGACTTCGTTTCTCTTCTACTTCCACTTGCATGTCCCAACAAATTATTCCCACGAGACAATGACTTCTTACATGTCTAAAAAAAATCGAAGTTTTCTTATCTGTTTAACCATACTGCTCCCTGTTCACGAAGAAGTTCCTTGGCATTAAAATCCTTACTGACGTGTGTTGGTCCAATATTTGCTGCATTTAATTTAACACTCTGAAAGAATCAGAAATGCTATCAGATCCTGAAGTTGAGTTGGGCTCGGAGGCATTTTCACTATTACACCTGACACCTTTACCAATACTTTTACGCAAGAGGAAACCATGATGAAATTATGTCCCAACTAGGTCCTCAAAGTTTATTAATAGAAACCTAAATTTCTCTAAGTAAATACTAACAAGTGTCTCTCAGTCTAAGTGGAATAGTTGCATGCGGCACACGCCATGCTAGGCTTTAGTTAATACAGTGAGTTAAACAGGTCCTGCCACCGACTGGAATTATTTGCGAGAGAAGCCTCATCCTTTGCTTTGTATGTGTAACAATTTTACATATATGTTTCTTGAAATTCTTACTGGTTTAGAGCAGGTTGAACCGTGTGAAAATGATATTCCTGTACATAAAGTCAAGTCTTATGTTCCTGTTGTACAGCACAGGTCTGATTTTGCCTTGTGCCTTTATGCCGTGTATGTGTACCTTCGGTTACTATTCTACTGTCTCTTTCTTTATTGTCGCTACATGTTCCGGCCATCCTCAGGTGTACAAGTTACTGTGATTAAGGAATCTGCTGTTCACTTTCTCTTATGCAGTTGCTTCGGTTTACTTCTAATTACGTGGGTCAATCATCTGTTTTCATTTTGGTGTTCTTCAGCTGTACGTCTTTTTCTTTATTTGTAATATTTGACGTGTGCATGTGGAAAGCATTGCTTCTTTCTATAAAAATCCTACAAACTACATATCGAGCCAGAATGATTCAACAAGGATATACACCAACATACCACAAAAAGTCGTATCAGACTGAGTTGTCATTTAGCGCTGCTAGCGAAAAGCCAGGACCATAATTTTACGGATTTAATTGTAATTTTATTGCAAGTAACAACACATCCCACATGTAACGAAATTAAAGACACAGTGCAACAACTTTAGCAAGAGTAACCACATGTGAAGATGGCCATGTGAGGCAGAAACATGTTGTAGAAGAGTGTACTGGCATAGAAAAGAAGAATAAAAACGTAGAATTAGGACGATGTAAAGACTTATTAACTGAAAAGTTATAGTTTCAGTAAAATACCGTTTAGAATAAATGATTCACAGACCCACATGATAACAATTGCTCTGTCGTAGAGAATAATTGTGCTAAGCTCTGTAATTTAGAGACAGCATCTAATAGAAAAATACCAAGTGTCGCGTAATATAATTCGAAGCCCTTATTCTTCACAGTCACCGGAAAATATGAAAACGGGCTTCTGTTCCCTATTCGTGGTACAGCCATTTAGGCAGAAGACTGCACGTGTAATTTGGAATTTGGGGAAAAAATGCATACCGTACGTTTGTGCTGAGACCTCTAGGAACGTAGGTGCTTACGCGTAGGCCTCCAAGACAGAACTGCGAGAGGAATAAGAGACTGGATATTAGAGGAACAAAATTTCAGGATGTCTTAAAGTGAAGCGAATGTCTGTTGTTCCTAAGTGTTTTGAAATTTCAGTTGTAACACTGAGATCAGCAAGGTTACAAGGAAGTGAGATGTATAGAGATCTAACACACTAACAGTGAAATATTATGTAAAAAAACTGCACTTAATTTGGTTACTGGCACATATAATTTAGAAGAAGAAAATTATGATTTGAATAAAGTTAGTAATAAAAATTTGTATGCTATAAATTTATAATTGGACGCACAATACTTACAGCCTGATTCTTCAAAGCAGGAAATGTCCAGTCAACTCGTGTCAGAATTATTTTTGGGACTCGAGTTGCTAAGGAATGCAACGTCCTTCGCAGTCTCGAAAGGCGTACTTCTTCACTTGCCATTCTTCTCTTGTTAGTCTTCTTCTTCTTCTGTTGCTCTGTGACGAACACACATAAAGTTTAGACACTGACACACCAGAGCGTGCAATGAAATACATCACTCCGATGTCAGAAAATGAAGCAATATAATTTGATATGATATTCCAATACAAGAATCGGAAAGTTTACACCCCTGTCATTGACAATCCCCGTTCTTTTAAATTAAATACAGATTATGCGACTGCAATGCGCATTTACATATGAATACATTTTTCAACAGGTTCTATTGCGTTACACTGAAGCGCAGTTAGTAAAATTTAACTGCTTTTCATAGGCAAATTTCTCAGCCTTTTCGCCAGATATGTGAAAGAAGAGCCGTTGTGGGCTTAAATGAAGAACTGAAGTAATTAATCTGCTGTTCGAAGACAACGTTCAACTTAAGTTGTTCCGGAATAGCTCTGTCTTTATACAGAGGGGTTGCAGGAGGGACAACGGGGGTTCTATCCCCGAATGGAGCATGATACTTTTCTCTATTCCACTGCGTCCAGACCGGGCCTGAGACCCACCCAGACTCTCTCTACTTGGTAGAGGAGGATATTTCCACTAGGGTAAATAAGCCAGTTCTTGGAGCTCGTCTCCATTTATTGCCGATTACAAGAACGGTGGCGACATAGCTCCATTGCCACATGTATATTCATGGTTTTACTGATTCATCAATTAAACACAGAGACAACTTTACCTTCTTTCTACCAGATAATTCTATATATGAAAAAAATTCGAAACATTAACAAAATTAGAAATCTACGTTACATGCAACTTTCTTCAAACACCCACATATCCAGATGCAATTATTAGAGTGCAGGGAAAAAAATACTGGAAATATGGGCACATTTTCTGTACTTTTTGTTCGAGGTATTGCTACATATAAATTCTGTCATCGTCAGAACAAAGTTCTTGGTTTCATTCCCTCATTATTTTGCAATAGTACATATATATTGTTTAACACTACAAGAGCAAACTCATGACATAAACTGGTTTTGTCCCCAATATTATGTATATAATACGGTCACGATTTTACGTTCTACACAGATATCGTTAACGTGCATATTACTTACCTTTAGTCCGTATACAGAAGGGACATAAATGTAAAGGAATACACCCGAGATGCAATCACTCAGACGTCCCTAACTGCTAATGCCAAGCTTCAGCTTTTTAGGTTGCTGGGTTTCTGTTATGATTTTAACACACAAAGTCAGACACATTTTTTAATTCATTAGATGATATAAATGCAAAATTCTCGAAACAAGCAACTCACATTTCTGGTTGCAGTTTCCAGGGATGACCTATCTACTGAGACACTCATATGTATTAACACTATTATCTCCGGATTTCAGTGAACTTATAATTCAGTAATATTGCAAATTTGTTTTTAAATTCAGTATCTCTTCAACACGACATCGAAAACTCGAATGTTAGTAAAAATTTAAAAAGTGATTTATAAAACCAGGTAACTCCAACAGAAAATTAATTTTGAAATTTTTGGGGTTGCATATTTCTTGTTACTCCTCTCAAAATCAGGCAAATTTTCGGCACGAAGACATATTAGAAACTGTAAAGAAAATACACTTAGTTATTTTGAAGGCAAGTTACTTGTCCTGTTATGTCCTCATTACTTCTGCGCGCTCTTCTATAAAATTACGTGTTCTGGAGCTGGTGATTTCCGATAATCATCCACTCAACTGGAGCAGTGTGTGCCATTACTTAGGTGCTAAGGCAACTGCGTATCAAGAAAGAAAGAGGCCTTACATCTTGATTACATATTATTTCCAGAAGTTGAGAAGACTACTCTTTTGTGTGGTGTGACGAAAATTCTGGTATGTGTTTACCTTCGTTTCCAATTGTCCTACTGACTCCATCTTCAAGGTGGATTAAGCACTTCCTCCTAAAATTTGAGATAGTTCGTTAATCCGTATGTTCGATAAAATTTTTCAAGTCTATACGTCGTCACATTCAAGAAGACGGTAATATTCATATTCAACGCAGTCAGAACCAAATATTTCACGTACTTTTGCGATGTTCCATATTTCGTTGGCACTGTAATGCGAGGAATATTCTGAAAGTAACCTCCTCTTAAATTAAGAAAATAATGAAGGAGCGGGGGAGAGCTGGTTCATGCGAAGTAGCGTCACAAAACTGGTCAGTTTCTGTTTGTTTTTGTCTCTACATATTGAGTTTTTACGTGTCCTGCGAATTATAATTCGGCTAGATTCTGAAATCGCACTGTTACCCTCTTCCTTGTGATAATACAAGTGTGCTGCAAAAATATATGTGAATAATACGCGGTTTACGGGCAAAATATAATGAGTGAAGAAACTGTAATTCAATGTTATAGTATGTTCAAAGGTGAGCGAATATATGTTCACAAACAAAACACAGAGAATATCTTCAGCTTTGAATTATTTAGAGAGATATACCACAAAGTTAGAGATGAAATTCT